CAAGTGAGGAAAGTGTTTCTTCATATTTCTTTTATAAATGTCTTTTTATAAATATGAAGCTAATTCCTACCACAACCGCGACGTATTGTTCTTGATGAGAACTACTTGGATTTTGAATTCATTAAAAAAACAAACTCACATTTTTATTTTTGAAATGGAGTACATAATGAGACTACCACCCACTCCATAGCTGCAAAAAGCGCAATCGCAACTTGTTGATCCTTAATGACAGATATCCATCCATTGAATGTCTCATGCTTGGCTAACTTTGCATCGGCCTTTACAACAGTCGGTTTTTTCTTTATCTTGGTCTCGACTTTTTCGACAAATGGAATATTCTTCTCGAGTTTCTGCATGAAACTAGTCCCTCGCTCCTCATCTGCCAGTCCGTCCACGATATTGTTGCTGCTCCTGAAATGTTGCTTGAAATTGCTTCTGTTCGTTTATTTTTTCGATCTCATTAGCTTCGACTAAGTTATAAAAGTGCGTTTGAATGGTTAGGAGCACCACAAGCACAAACAAAAAGGAAGGCATTGAACTTAAAGATATTTGTGGGGCTGATAAGATTTTCTTGGATAAATTTTCATGTTGTATTACAGATTGTAAGCCAGCGATTGAGATTTCTTCACTGCGAAAACAAATTGCGTAATACTGTTTTGTCAGGGCGGCTAAAAAAAGAAATACCGGTATACCATTTTACGTTATACACCCTGGCAAAAGGCAATCTTGGCGCTGTAGCGACTGCGATGGTAGGCAACAAGCACAAGAACGGCATAATCTGCACATTCCCAAATTGCAACAAGTCTATGCGTACGCAAAAGTTTAAGATGCACTTCACACGGGCACACTTAAAGGAAGGTGAGGTCTATTCGGTAGTACATCGACAGCAATTCGAAGTGGCAAGAGAGGATAATGCTCGCAGCACCATGAAATCTGAACTTTTAAGTGCGGTTGCTACAGTACAAGAGAAAATTAAGATGATACCTCCATTAATAACAGTGGGGGACAGCTTGCGGGTCAAAAGTGAGATCTCGGTCGCTCCAGCGCAAGAACCAATCCAAACTGTACAAGCGAGGCGAGTGCTGACCCAACCAACTAGTTTATCCCCTCAGACATTAACTTCAGCCATATCCACCGAAAATGGATCCACTGATACGACTGCAATATCCAAAATTGTTGAGGTTAAAGCCGCGCAGAGTTCACCACCATTCGAGCACACGAGCGGCAGTAAGCGGACGTATGCCGCGTTAGAGGGATATTTCGGTGATGCCGCTGATCCAACTAGCGTACTTCTGATGCAGCTAATGACACTAATAGACCAGCGATTTCAGGAGCTAATCGGCAAGATGGACGAAATGATCGACGTTCAGAAGAATTTAATTGACACTCTGCAAATCAGCAATTTAATCGGACGGCTGCCTTCATCAACATTATCGCAAGATGAGAAGGTTGCTGTGAAAAGACGCAAGAAAAATTTGAGCCCTAACGGCTGCGACAGTAACAGTGAAAATGGTAATGTTAGTGATTGCGATAATGTTGACGGTCCGGGAATTAATTTGTAACACCATAGTTAGCTTTTTAATTTGTGTTCTGTTATTGCTCTAGTTTATTTAATAAACTGTTCTTATTATTTCTCAGAAATAGAAATTAGACACAGAATGCTTCAGAACCGAAATTCTGACTATGATAGTAGTACTACTGATGCTGTTGGTGACGCACGCCACGGCTTCGCGCTTTGAGTCTCGCATGGCCATTGTTGACACAAAGCTTTCCGTGAAATTGGATCCAAGCGTACAGCATATTCCGCTAGACCCGGCAGAGGCGCATCTAAGGCCTCCGCCAGCGCTAATTCCTGTCTCGTTCGACATTTTTGTTGGTCTTTCAGTCTTTCGAGATGGTTTCCGCTGCGGAAAAACAATATTTACTGCAATAAGGCGAGCCAAGTATCCAGAGCGACTCTTCTTTGGTGTTGTGGATCAGATAAATGAAAGTGACGAACGCTGCCTCGATGAATACTGTAAGATGTCGGAGGCCGAGTGGCCTGATGAGGGTCCGTGTCCATACAAGGACCATATCCGCGTGGACATACGTGAAGCGAACAAGTCACGTGGCCCGACGCTCGCGCGTTTCTATCAGCAAAAACTAATCCGTCACGAGGAATTTTGTCTGCAACTTGACGGTCACAGTATTTTCACTAATCTTTGGGACGAGAATTTGCTGGCTGAGTGGAAACGTGTGAACAATGAAATGGCTGTGCTTTCCACATACTTGCACCACCTTCATAACTTCGTGAAAGAAAATGGCGATAATGCGCTTTCCGCATCAGTCCCACATCTGTGCTCAACCACGCGTGGCACCCATGGCCTTGTGCGCACTGTTGGCGCAAGTATGATTCGGGGCTCTAAGTTTCCACAGCTACAGGCACTTTGGGGTGCCGGTTTGTCTTTTAGCAAGTGCCACGCTGAGCACCGTGTACCAGTAGATTCACACACATTATGGATGTTCGACGGCGAGGAGTTTTTGCGTGCGTCTCGTTTGTGGACAAGTGGCTACGACTTTTACTCCCCCAGTGAGCTTGGCTCCGTGATTTACCACAATTATTCCAGAGTGCCGGCTCGCTTTGAGCGTATTACGGTCGATAAGCAGACAAAAAAGCGAGAGGTCGAGATGGCTGTTAATCGCTTTAATCACCTGCTTGGAAAGCCTGTTAAGGGCTTGATTGACACTTTTGAGCTCGACAAGTACGGTCTTGGCTCAGTGCGATCTCTAAAATCTTATTTAACTTTTTCTGGTGTAAATTTCAAGAAAGGTTCAAACGATACCGGTTCATGCAAACAGCTACACTGGGTTCCTTACGATAATGCGACGGAGGTGGAGGCTTTGATGGGAAATGGCTGGACACTTTCGAGATCGGCAACAGCCGCTGGCCGCTCAACGATGGCACGGCGCGGAGAGGATGCTGATAACGAGAATGGCACAGACTTTGGTGTTGACGAGCAGTTAGAGAGGGCAAAGGCACGTCTACGGCAGAAAATAGTGAATAGCCGCATGGCTAGAAGTCCGTCTACTACACCAATTTGGTTCATTATACTCGTAGTCATGGTCGCCCTACTTGTGGCGCTTTCTAATGATAGTATGTCGCGCTTTATTCGATTACAGATTCGCGCATCGTCACTTACGCATCCCAGCAACACTGAATTGCATTAAATGTATATCAGCGCGTATAATCGTCATATTCACGTGCAAGGCTGCTGTTTAAGCAACATGTCTTGATAAACATACAAATTCGAGTAAGCTATTCATCACGATGCTCTTTTACAAATGGTTAAGAAGCGAAATTAGAGCCTGCTTGGCGTATGCATTCATCGCATCGTTATCCGTTTCCTGAACACGCTGAAGCACTTCAATAGCGTTGTTGATTCGACACCAATCCAAGTTGTGATCATTCATAATCACTGCACTCTCCAACGCGAGCAATGCATTTGCCTGGAGCGACTCTGACGCTCCAGTGGCAAGATGCTGCACCAACATCGCCAGTCCTCCAGCCTCTGCAACGAGTGACTGGCTTGCCACATTACGGTGTACGCCATGATGCAAAGCCCAGGCAGCGCTGCTATTTACATCTTCATCGTAAATCGGCGACAGCAACAATACGAGAGCTGCCAACGCCCCACTTTGACGAAGCAAATCTTGGGCGTCAATTTCCCCTCCAGAAATAATGTTTCCCAGTGCGAAAGCTGCTGCACTGCGTAGCGGGTCGCTGTACTTGTCGTGCAGTAGCTCACCCACAAGGATCACACCGTCAAGATCAATAATCTGGCGCCGACCCTGAACACTACTGGCTATATTAGCCACGCAAGTGCTGGCGACACGTTTAATAGCATCGTATGGGCTTCTAAGCAAGTTTAATGCTGCGCTTACAATGTCCGAAGAAGAAACAGCTTCAGCAGCTAATGGATTGAGCGCCACGTTGCCCAACGTGAGGCAAGCAGCCGCGTGTAATTTTGGGTCCGACTGCGTAAAAAATGACGCTAGAATTGCCGATGCATTTAATTTAACAAGTTGCTGAGCAATTTGTGGGTCTTTTGACAAACGTATCAGAGCAAGAAACGCAGGAACTAACAACTGAGAAGACGCAATTGAGTCGTTGTCCTTCAAAATGCTCATCAGCATCACAAGAGCATTGCTGTTCACGATGTCGAGCATCTGTTGTTCCTTCGCATAGCTATCGAGGGAAAGGCTTATGTCTAGACCATTGATTGCAGTCACTCGGTCTTCTACAGAAGCTTCGTTCGTCTTTAGCGTTTTTGCGATGTCAAAGATACTTCTGGGAGGCGTCGAGTAGGCTCGGCTGGCTGCGACTGGCCACCGAAAATCGTAATGGATAGCACAGCGATCACGTGTAGCAATTGCGATATTTGAATTCGTGCTGACCGGATACGTTGCTAGAGACATGCACCTGCGGTGAGCAGATGTGGCGATCGGTCGAAACACCAGTCGCATGTCAAACAAACATATACCTTGAAATAAGGTTACTGTCACTAAAATGAAAATGTTCACAGTTTTTCAAATATGGGCAAGAATCGACACAGCAAGGATCGGCTGTTCATCACGCAGACTGAGCACAAATATCTGTACGGTGGTAAAAAACAAGAGATACGGCAAGCATACAAGCGTAAGTTTGTACGCTAGTCTCTGTTATTTTGCTTCCTCTGCTTATTTTAATCTGGCGCAGGTCTGCCATTTAACTGTTGCGCAATCACTCTTTGCCCTTTCACGGTATAAATTTTCCTTTCCCTCACATCTTCTATCCACGTAAAGACTAAGATGTTTATATATGCCGTTAGAACGCAGTATGCACTCGTGATGGTCACTTGTTTGACCTGGAGGCTGTCGTTTTATATGTCAAAAAGCATCAGAGTGTACGTGCTGCAGTCAAAGTCATTTTTATAGATAATGTTGTGTTTATGCTACATTCTTTGGGGCAGAACCCTGTGACGGGCAAACCAATGTTGCTTAAGGAACTCATCCAATTGCATTTTAGCAAAAATTCACAGGGAGAGTATTTTTGCCCCGTCACTTACAAAGTCTTTACTGACAATACCAAGATTGCTGCTATTGCCCCAACCGGCAATGTTTTCTGCTATGAAGCCGTTGAAGAGCTTAACATCAAAGCGAAAAATTGGACGGTGCGAAAGAGTAATATTGATCTTCCCTAGATACATCTAATGGTGCACTGCTCGAAAGGCAGGATCTTCTTGATGGAACCAAATTTCAGCGTAAAGATATTATTATTTTACAAGATCCTCAAGACTACTCCAACCGAGAAATTGAGAATTTTGAGCATTTCCGGCGCTCGAATGCGACCGAGAATGTAAGTTTGTGCCAGAAGTGGTCGGACTTATCACCTCATTTGATTGTCTGTGATGTAAACGTATGGATGCTATAGAGTGGCTTTGTATCGACCGCAATCAGAAATATCCGCACCAATGCTGCAACAGATCGTATTTTTGAGGAAGTACGACAATTCATCTTAAAGCGCTTAAAAGTTTGCATTGGGAATGGAATATGCTGATTTTTCTTCATCTTTACAGTTGGAAGCAAGGAAAGCTGAGCAGCAAGTGCTTGCGAGCAAAACGAAGCAAGAATGTGCTGGTGTGAATGAGAAGGATAAAATTGTGGCTTCTTTGCCCCAATATGATACAATAACAAGTCAGATGACAAAATCACAGAGTTTGCGCTATTCGCAATTCACTGCTGGCAAATGCTCAAGCTCTTTTACTTCCAGTGTGAGAGCACCTGTAACGGAAAATGCGTTGGCGCTAGCCTCGGAACAGGAGTTGCTCGAACTGAGGTGGCAATCGGTTCGGAAGCTCAAGAAAAAAGGTCTCGTGCGGCTTGAAACAACTCTAGGCAACATAAGCTTGGAAGTTGATTGCGATTTTGTCCCGCAAACGGCTGACAACTTCATGAGTTTGTGTCAAAGCAAGTATTACGACGGCGTCTTGTTTCATAGAATAATAAAGGGTTTTATGATGCAAGGAGGAGATCCAACTGGCACAGGCCGGGGTGGCGAATCCGTTTGGAAAAAACCGTTTCGCGACGAAATTGACAACCGATTGGTAAGAAGTAAATGTAGCTTAGTATATTTGTCGTGCACTGAGCGTAGCCTATCATTTCACCGCAGTCTCACGATTCAAGAGGTGTGCTGAGTATGGCAAACTCCGGACCTGGGACTAATAATTCGCAATTTTTTATCACTTTTAAAGCATGTCCACACCTAGACAAGAAACACGCCGTTTTTGGTCGGGTAGTAGGAGGAATGGATGTACTAGATGCCGCTGAGCACGTAGAAACTGGAATTGAAGACCGTCCAATCGAGAATGTGGTCATCCAGAAAGTTCAGGTGTTTGCCAACCCGTTTCATGACTACGAAGAAGCTCTTGCGCAAGGTCTAGATGTCGTGCAGGTTGCTAATGAAAAGGCGGCTCGAGAGGCAAAACCACTGGTACAGGGAACTGTTTTAAAAATTGGCGGCAAGTGGGTTGCTTATGATGATGTAAGTGAAGCTGCCTTGACAGACATCCCCACAAGCCAAACATCCAAAAATGACAACGTTGGGAAATATTTGGAGGTTAATCGGAACGTCATCTCAAACAAGCGATCAACCAAATCTATCCTGCCTAATTCAGTGAAAGGCAAAACGAAAAGGAAAAAACAGTCATCTGGTGGATTTGGCACTTTTTTGGGCTGGTGAATTTGTCAATGTGATGCAACCGGAGACAGCAATCAAGTGTCTATTTTTAAGGATTAGAACAACTAACCTTAAACCGTCGCTCTAAAAAGCATTATTACGATGGATAAGTATGTAGTCGAGAAAGTTATCGGCGAGGGCACGTATGGCATTGTTTATAAAGCTAAAGTAAAAGTACGTGTAAGCCGGTTCTACACTTATATACAAGAGTTTACTTATATCACTTGGTGGGATACAGGCCAGCGACAATTACGTGGCGATAAAAAAATTTAAATTACCTGGTGGTATTGCCATTCTGATGTCGTTTGCACAATTCATATCCAGTGTAATAACTGCTTTCGCAGATACGTTGTCCATGCGGGAAGTTCAGACGTGTTCAATGTTGAACCACCCTAACATCGTGTCCTATCGCAACAGCTTCCGGCATGATGGGATTTTGCATTTGGTGTTTGATTATGTCTGCGATGGCTTGGTAGAAGTAGGCGCTACTGTTTTTGTATATTAGATATTTGGCGTTGATTCATCCATCTATAGCTCTTGTCAAAGAATCAAACAGGTGTGAGACCACAGAATGCCCAAACAATTATCTTCCAGCTATGCAAAGCTTTGGATTACTGCCACTCAAATCGAATCATTCACCGAGGTGAGTGCAGTGGCTTGTAGTAGGATCATGATCTCTTTAATCGTTGATTATGATCTCAGACGTTAAACCAGACAACATTCTTCTTGATAAAAATGGTACGCTCAAGCTCTGTGACTTCGGTAAGCCAATCGTTGCTTTGACATGTCAATTTTGGACCGAAAGCTTACTTGTTTTGTGCCTTTGTAGGAGTTGCTCGCACTATACAATATGATGGCGATCTACTATCAGACTACGTGTCAACGCGGTGGTATCGACCTCCAGAGCAAGAGTTACGGTTGGTTATGACAACAAACGATTTACTTTTGGGTACAGAGTGACAGAACTGTTTATCTTTTCTTTAGACTCGGTCGCTATTCTTTTAATGCTGACATTTGGAGTGTCGGCTGCGTGCTTATGGAGCTACTTACTGGTCGCCCGCTATTTCCTGGTAACACACAAATCGAACAACTGTAAGCTCTTCATTACAGTGTTGTCTGACATTAGAAAAATAATATTTGTTGCTGATATACCTAGTAACCTTATTCAGAGTTACCTTGGCCCTCTACCAGTGTCGCTACGCTCTAAAGTACCTCGAGGTGCCAGCTCCATTCAAGCGCCATCGCGATCATTTCGAGAATCACTTGGTGATCGATCTCTTCCTCCAGGAGCTTTGGATTTTCTCGTTAAAACTTTACAGCTTGAGCCAAGACTTCGCTATTCAGCTCAAGACTGCCTTAACCACCCATTTTTAAGTTCTTTGAGAGACGCAGAGCTTAGACAGACGGAAACTCGACATCGGTTAAGGCAAGTCCGCGGAAGTGATGAAGAATGTATAGAGGAAAGAATTGCAGGTGAAGAGCAGTCGCCAACTCGAGAGCAATCAAACGAATTTAAACCCTATCAAAAAATTTCGGGTTTCGAATCACAAACTTCTGAGACTTGCTCTGTAATAAAAAACAAAGATGACTCGGCAAATATTTCTGCAAAAGTGATTCAGTGTAACTACTTGAAGGACCAAGTTAGGATGCATGACATCATCGAATGTGACAACGATAGCATTCAGGAGATTATTGAGACAGATTGCTCTCAGTTTCAGCTATTTTGTGGTAAGGAAAGTAGAAACAATAAGATTTGCGAGTTGAAAGGTGACATCTTATCGCGGTCAAAAGGGGCATCTCTACATGCTTCACATGTGATGTTAGCAAAATCGCACGTCAATTTCTTAGACGACGATAGTTGTTACGAAGATGACTTCGAAGAATAGTTGTTCCAGTCGTGACAAAAGTTGTGAATGAAAATTTCGTTTTGGGTAACGATTCCTGCTAAATGACAAAGATTTTCAGTTGAAAAATTTGTCAACCGGATTGTGAGTATGCATTCTAACTTTACGCTATATTCTGATAGCTATCTTGCATTTGATAGCAATAATGTGCCTCAAGCATAAATAGGTGATTGACATTGCTGATATTAAGCAACACTAGAGGCCAACATACAACTGTGCTCTGTCAGATTTAAACTTAATGATTCGATAGGAAGCAGTGAAGTGGTGTTGCACACTTCAGATACGTCGTTAAGCTCAAATGAGGTACGCAGATTGTACCTTCAATTTTTCTTGGCATTTTCTCATTGATATGGCCGATCGTGTTTGGTTTCATTTATTAATTTGAAATGTTGGTGGTTGTACTCTACAATCTGGTCTTCCAATTGATGAACATACCACCACAGTCACGAATCCACCAAGGATCGCACTCACGCATGCAACTGGCGCACTTCTGGCAATTGTACGAGGTATGTTATATTGGGGGCGCTTCGGGCGTCGTGGTCGTCAAAGTTTACACCCGTCATATCGCACATATAAGGAGAAAATGTTCGCGGAGGCACGAAGCCTCTTCAATACGCAAATGAGACGACAAATTCGCACTCTTGGTCAACACATACGGCTTTGTATCTGCAGATATGACTTGTGATTGTCCGCGGCAACAGCGCTCATATCTCCCTCTCTGTTGGTGTATGACCGTGCAACAAAAAAGCTGTATGTGTCGGATTCGTCACCTGACGAGGCAATGTTGGAGCGAACGCGGTCAACGGCTTCAGCCTGGCGGTCATCATCTAAGCCACCCAATCCCCCATATAGTCGTTAGTTGTTGAGTATATTGTAAATTATTTCGTAGTGATTCTGGATTCTCATTTTCGATTGATAGAATTATTGATTTGAAATTGAGGATAAATCAGGTTTAAATGATATGATATAAAAATATCCTTGAGTTACATTAACTTTGTCGGAATTAAGTTTGAGAACTGGTATATAAACTGGCAGCCCTCAAAATTTATTCTCGTTTATAATGTAAGAACTTCAAGCGATGACTTTCAAGTTTGAATTCACGTTCAATCCAAGCAATAAATTATTGCAAATGTACTGCTAATTTTGACTCAAGCAAAACATTTGCATGGACCGTAAAGCTGGTTTCAAACACTAGCCCTTCAGCTGACGTAATTTGAGGCAGATATGAGTTGCCGAAGCTAAAGCAGCTGTTCGAGCTGTATGTGTGCAGCATATCAAGTCGCTGCTAAGATCTGCTGTTGATGTGTTGATATTAGCTTTGAACTAACTATCATTGACCCTCCCTTCATTTCAATCACGACTCGCTGCGTGCTTCGAAAGGATAGTTGGCTTCCAATTAATCATTTGTTAAAGAATCTTTGACATTTGGCCCGACAGTACCACTCGATCTTCTTGCTCAGCACTGATATTGACGATATTACGCTCCCGCTTCTCGCCACTTTTATCTTTCCTCCGTCGGCGGCCAGGCACCCGCTGTTGATGTCTTTGATACCTTTTCGGATGCTTAAGTTGTTAGTGATAAGTCGACTCGATCCGCTGTCAAGCACTCTTGCTGAACTTGGTCAGAATGACGACCTCACGGCTGAGAAAAAAGCCTCATGCGTCATCCGGTTCTGGCTCTTCCGAATACAGATCGAGCATCTTGTGTATCTATGAAGCTTCAGCCTTTCTTACATGTGAGGTTGAACTAAAAGCTCACGCTTTCGGACATCAAAGCCTTATTGTGTTCGAGTATGAGCAGCTTATAGCGGTCGAGTGAATTCCATGTTCGAATCCAGGAGCTACTTTTAATGAAGTATGCTCTTGGTACGATAATTTGATTGGCTCTATGTCATTTCTGCTCTGTACAGATCCTGTGTCATCAAGCGCAGCGACGTCGTATCCGCATCTCTCACATGGAGCGGCAATAAAGTTTTCTCCTTTGATAAGATTAAGGTATAAGTCGGATAGATTTCAGTATGTGTTACTTAAAGGGGTTAGCTTCAAGCATTGTAAAGCAGAATACTTTCGGACTCAGTAGCCGCTGTATCGAAACGCTTGGTTGCATGCTTGCAAAGTGATTTTATTCTCGAGGCTTGCTAATATTCAACGCTGGTCGTTTGAAAATCATCATTCAGCGATACCTCATAATTTATTTCATGTTAAGTACAACTGTGAGCTCTAAAATTCCTGTCCTGATGGTTACCTCTAAAGAAAAAGATCCTTTGGCTTAGTGAGGACCATGCTTGGTGGTCCAACCGAATAAGTGGGTGAGCACATATGTGCGCACGATTATAATGCTTCAACGGATTAAAACCCTGCCCGCCAGACGGCTTCGGCAGACTGTCTACAGACCATTTTTTGGCTTTGTTTATGCTCTTCCAAACATTGTGACCAGTAATACCAGCATTATGGTCTTTGTAAGCCGTTAAGGCAAAAAAAAGAAAATGATATGCGTTGAGTTATTGTTTCTTGATCCAATTGGAACATATCAGAGACCTGCGTGATCTCCGATTAATGCTCGCAGCTACACCACACGATATTCATATCACTGCCGCCAACAGAACCGTCAATAATTCCATCACAACGAAGCTGTTCTTTGTTTGGGTTTCGCCACCATGGCATGCTGTATGCCAGTCTTTCGAATCGAGATTGGCGCTTCACCGGAAAACGGTTGTAAATGCTACTTACAGTGGTGAATATCTGAATGACACATCCACCGCGACTAATCTGCAAAAATGTTGTCAGGTAATGCGGTTAAACTGTATCCTACACATCCGTCGCGCGAAAGAGACGTGATAAAGCGAAATGATTTCAGCCATTGAGTTTGCGCTTATAACGATGTTCGTCAAGTTACGTATTTTATTTGATTTAGTATGGACTATATGGCTGATCCAAGTTTTTCTAGGTCAACGCCAAACAGGTTCATCAATTTTGGTTGTAGGCTATCGAAACGATCTAACCTGCTAACATCGACCCTTCTTCACTTTGGATCAAAAGCACAAAATCCTTTTCAATGGGATTGAGTATTACACGCGCAAGTGCGCAACACTATGGTCAAAGCCGGGATCATCACTAGCAAAATGCAGTTGTTAGAGGCAAACAGAAAGCTCCTAAGAATATCCTGGTCTGGTGATTTATCAATCTGTTTTTCTACCAAGTTATGCTGTCAACAAGACTAAGGGCTACGCGCTACGTAAGGCTGTTTATAGTCCACCAAAAATAGTGAGCATCTTTTGGTATTGTGAAAGGATGCAAACACACTGTGTATTCTGCGCGGACGTTATGCATCCATACCAGTTCTAAAATTCCTCCATTCTACGACGTCAGTCAGTCGGCTGCATAAAGCTTGTAAAGCTGTGAGACAGGCGAGGCGATGTACTGTACCGCCCTCGCAAATAGAATGAGTTATCCTTTGGTATTTAACCAGCGTTCACTTCACTTGTACAACATTTTCAGACATCTGCTGCTATAGATGCAGACGGTACACCCAGTACACCTGAAAAGTGATAGCTTGAAGGCTTCGAAAGCGCTTGCATGGCAACTTACATCCATCGTTTCGCTCAATATGTGAGTAGAAGCCCGGTACGCATAGGCTCGGCGGACCTCCTAAGATATATTAGACAAAAGTTGTTGCGATTTCTGAGCTTGCAGACGATTAACTCTGGCTTGCTGCACAAAATTCAGCTCATCGAATGCAAGCTGGTCATCGTCGTATGTTCTTAAACTGTGTGTCGTAATGATTTCGCCGTATGGAATGGGTGTAGAAATAAATGATTTTCAGGCTTTTCCTTGGTCGAATATCTCTTGTTCAGTAACGTCAGGAATTTGAAAGCTATTTTACTATTCTCTAGGCAGGACATCGCGGCTTTCTCGCCAAAAATGGATCGTACGTTGTCGGCGGTGATGTCATGTCCACTTTAGGGCTCGTCTAGTCATTGGAGTAGAGATCCCGATATGGATGTTGACCAAACTGTCATATGCATGTCGAGAACACGTTCCTATGTCCAATGAAATATTGCTCAGCGATCAGTTCTGCAAGTTATCTTAAAAGGCAAAATGAGTATAGATCCTGGTGTGGTCCACATGTCCGTAGTTGTGTGTGACGGAGTACATACAGTATATTAGTTTACATACACATTTCACTATCAGGAACAGTTTAAACGACGAAACGTACTAGTATTGATGAGAGTGACAGGAATTCGCAAAGCATGGGTTTCAGGAATAGATGGGTTGCAACCTTTCCCTTGTGCAGTACATGTACCTGTATTTTGGGCAGGGCAAAAAAGTTTGATTCAGTATTAGTACAAATTTTAATTTTTATTAAATTGATCCGAAAATAAGGTATCGTGCTGTCAAGAGGCTCTCGTTTTTTGCTTCTGTATGGAAAGAGTGTATCCATTATCTGTTCACAAGCTCACGAAATCTTATTATGTCAAAGTCTTCGCTGTACAAGGGACGATGCAATGCCACTGTATGGTCAAGTGCTTCTGTTAGAATCGGGTTCCGAAGGGACTTTATGACTGGTAATTCAGCCCCGGAAGCGATCTACTTGTCCGTAGATATAGTGCAGTGGTGGGACACTTCCAAGAACTATTAAACCAGACGTTGTCAGTGGGAGCACAACTGGATAATTGAGAGTATAATAAATAGTATATTTTTAAGGGAGAAGACGGACAACATCGACGGATGCCTCTTCCCAACTCAGACCATATGTGGTGAGCGTTAAGACCTTCGAGGGGAAAGATGGGAAGAAACACCTGCTCTGGATGAGAAAGGCCGAGATGGCTATGGCTTCCGCCATGCTCCAATACGAGCAGCAGCAAGTGGCGATTGCTTTCTCCACGCTCGGGCGCCGAGCGCGAGAATGGACACTAACGTGCGGTGCTTCGATTGAAGCTGCGTTCCCATCCTGAAAGGAGATGAGGCGTTTGCTTTTGCGAGTGTTCTCGCCGCCAAACCAGGCATGTCGCGTGCTATTGCGCTTCCTTGCCGCCCGACAGAGCAAGAAGGAGTTGGTGGACTTCGTCCAAACGTTGAGAGCTCTCAATGTCAGGATGGTATGCAATCCTCTACCCTAGGCGGTTGCAGTGACCACCTTTATGCTGGGCATCCGCACTGGCGTAGCCAGAATGGAAGTTTTTCGTGTGTATCCATCTACTTTTGAAGAAGCAGTGACCGTGGCAATGAATGCCGAGTTCAACTTCAAGACGGCATGAATCAGTTGAAATGCACACCCTCAGATCTCGCCGAGTCAATGGATTTCAGCTATGCTGAGAAAGAGAAGAAGATGCTTCGAGCTGCCGAGCAGCGTTTGAACACTCGACGCTATTTTGTCTAAAAGAACACCCGTCACTATGGCCCCTGCGCAAGGAAGACACGCATAAATCGAAAAGTATCGCACTTCGGACTTATTATCCCCTGTGCAAGGCGCGTAAAGGTTCGTCGAGCCGACGACCCGCTTCTAACCAGTCTGTTTTGTCCCGGGGAAACAATAAAACCAAGTAGGCGCGGGGCGCCCTACTGGGAAGAACTGAGCCTTAAAAAGATAGAGGGCGGCAGAGCCCAGCCCCGAAGAGCTTTGAACACGGAACGTGTATACAAGCCGGGTTTGCTGGTCGTAAAAACGATCATCAAGGGCTTCGAGAAGCCAAGAGAGATTCTTATCGATATCGGGGCGTCGGGCAATTATGCTCGAAGCTTCGCGATGAAGGTATTAGATGTATGCTGAGGCACTGAAAACACAGATGAGTGACGCCGTCACAGTTCGCTTAGTGACGGGGACTTGTACCGAGGGTCCTTGTTGAGACTTCGATAGCG